TTCGATGGTGAGGACGCCATGAATTCTGTCGAGGACTTCGTGTTTCGGCTGGAGTTCCTGCAGAGGCAATATCAATGCTCTTGGAAGGAGGTCCTGCGCGGGTTTCACCTGCTCCTGACCGGCCGTGCCCGCGAGTTGTACTGGATGCACGTGGGGCATTCTAGGGTCAATAGCTGGATGCAACCGCGGCACGCTCTTTTAGACAGGCTCCGGGGATATCAGACGGAGAACGACGTGATGCAGGAACTACTACAGCGAGAGCAACAGACCAGCGAAGGGTGGACGACTATTTTTACCACATACGTCAACTCGCCGCGCGAATCTCGAAACCGCTAAGAGACCGCGAACTGGTAAAGATTATAAAGTGTGGCTTGAAGGAGAGTCTGGCAAAATTCATCAATGCCATGGATGTACTAACCGTGGACGAGCTGCGCCAAGAATGCATAGAAGTAGAAAGGCACATTGGTCGCAGAGGCCAGACCGGGTACGGGCAGCCGTCGCGCTACTCAGAAGGAACGAGGCCCACAGTTCACAAGGTTGACGTACCACCTCATCGTGCGGAAGCATCGCCTAGAGAACTAAAGGAGGCATTCGTGCGAGGTAGGACATCAACACGGCTAGTGTGCTGGAACTGTAGGCAGTTCGACGACTTTAGGGACTGCCTCTCTACGGAGCGGAAGATACTACAGATGCTGATGCCGGGACAGACGCGTTCAGGGACGGCGACCGCGGAAAAACAAGAGAGGAACACCTACCATAACCAAAAACTCTGGTAAAGGAGAAGAATATAGACCATGTGGACTAGGATAAGTTTATATATAAGGATGTATACTGGCCGGGGTATAACTCTCAATCTTACCAGGTCTAGCGAGTTACAAGATATTTATAATTTCGCTGGGAGGGAGGATTTAAGGGGGGGGGGGGGGGGAGAGTATTCTGACCAGACCAAGCCTAGCTCCATTTCTGCACGCCTACACTACCAGGCCGTGGCCTCGTACCAACTACGCTAGCAGGCCGTGGCCTTACGCTAACTCCACTACCCAAACTCTCCATCGGACCGTGGCCTCATACCACTGCTCTATCGTGCCGGAGCCTCACGCCAACTCCACTACCCAAACGCTCTATCGGGCCGTGGCCTCGTACCACTACTCTATCGAAACACCAACCGGTAATGCCCACCCCGGGGACACAATCCCGTACCAGATGCTCCTGATCGAGGTTAGGTCGAACACCGGTTAATTTCGATGTTAAGGCAAGCCAGGTTACCAGAAAAAATAAAATTATCCGGTTTCTTCTCGATAATAATAACATATGCACTTTATTCACTCCTCGCTTATTGCCACTTTATAGTACCTCACGAGCTTAACTCTGCCGCACTGTTTTCTGGAGACCTAGCGCTCCGCTGTACACTCTATGACCTTCCTCGTCTCACAATACACGTCTACTCACCCTTAGCGTTCGTTCCCAAGTCAACTTCGCCGCGAGCTTTCGTAACTTCGCCTCGGAGCTTTCGCTCTTCGCCGCCGAATTGGATTTGCGCTCTCGAATGCAGTGTTGAGCAACCGATCAATAACGCACGGTTGCAGCGGCGGCCGGCGGTTAAATTCAAATTCGCTCTTGTAACTTTCGTGGCTCCTTGCCTCTACTCACTTATATAATTGATGATTATAATATAATTAATACACTGCGGCTTATAATATTGTCGGCTCCTTGCCTCTTATATAACGAATACAATTGCTACTTGTAACATTGGCTGCTTCTTGCCTCTTATATAACTAATCACGCCAGCGGCTCCTCGCCGTGATTTGGCCATGGGAACGATGGCTCCTCGCCAAGAAAACTGTGGGGTGGTGGACCTCAGGAGCCGCCTCACAAGGATAAAAATAGAGGGATACCATTAAGAGGGTTACCATGTGAAGAACGTGTCCGGGCATACATGTCGGCCCGGAATAGAATTTTTGGTGAGCGACGGCTGGAGGGGATGACATTGGCCACCAGAAGAGTGCTTAAAGCTCGGGCGCGTTTCCTCAGGCGCAAGACGAGGAGGTCATCGAAGCTGTGAAACGGGAGTATAGCCCAGAACCAAGCGTATTCGCCGAAGTGGAGGTCGCTGGAATCAAAATGAAAGGGTTGCTATACACCGGAGCCTCGGTCAGCCTGCTGGGGAAAGGTGGTCGAGAATTAGTAGAAGATCTAGAAGTTTCGGTAGTCACGACCGCTGGAGGCGAGGATAAATTAATCATAGGTAGTGTAGAGCTCCTAATCTCGTACAGGGAGCAGCATAAAAACATGACGTTTTTCATGTCTCACTACCTGAAACAGCGAGCCTATTTTGGAATTGATTTCTGGCAAGCTTTTAACCTAGCCCCTGATATTTTGGGCCCCGAGAAGATATCCTCCACAGAACACCAAGGGGAAGAGCTCTTGGCAGTGTCGATGACACACTATTGCCAAGAGGACGAAGAAGGTAAAAAGGAGCCAGATTCATGGGAGTTGTCTCGGGAAGAAAGGATAGAGTTGGAGGCAGCAAAGCAGGGGTTTTTGTCTTTTGAGCATAGCATAGTGGAAGGTGCCCAACCGTTCGAAGATTATGGTCAACGATGCAGAAAGTAGTGGATGACGAGGTAGATAAAATGTTGAGTGCGAAGTTTATTGAAGAGTGTAATAGCCCATGGAGTAGCCGCACAACCGTAGTGCGAAGACCAGGGAAAACCCGTTTTTGCCTTGATGCACGCAAGCTCGAGAATTTGACGGAGAAAGACACGTATCCACTACCCTGTATAGAAGGCATCCTATCTAGAATAGACCAGACCCACTACATCTCCAGTGTGGATCTGAAGTTCGCTTATTGGCAGGTCGAACTAGACGACAAAACAAGCCATATACCTCATTTACCGTACCAGGTAGGCCGCTATACCAGTTTCGCGTCAATCCATTTGGTTTATGCAATGCAGCCCAACGTCTGATGGACAAGGTAATTCCCAACGAGTTGCGGTTGTGTACTTGTCTTTGTGTACTTGTTATTTTCTCTGATTTCCCAACGCACTTGCCATATTTGCAACAAGTGGGCAAATGCTTAAAAGAAGCCAAGCTCTCAATCGGACTGCACATATCCAAAATTTGCTTCCGCGCTTTAAAATACCTAGGATTCATTATTGGTGGTGGCAACCTTTGCATGGATCCCGAACGGGTTATAGCTATTAAACGAATTCCCGGGCCTCGGTCGCGCAAAAAGGTTTGCTCCTTTTTCGGTACAGCAGGTTGGTACCGGCACTTTATGCGAGCTTTCGCGGCAATGGCCGCCCCACTGACTGAAATGCTAAAAAACAATAGCGGAAAGCTTGTATTGAGTGACGAGGCAACACGAGCCGTTGAACAATTGAAGACCGCCCTGACTACGGCCCCAGTACTTGTGCACGCGGATTTTTCCAAACCATTTTTTGTGCAGTGCGATACGTCTCAGTTTGAGGTGGGAGCAGTATTATTTCAAAAGGACACTGAAGAGCAGGACGGACCCATAGCCTTCTTTTCAGACAAGTTGAACGGAATTATTTCGTCACTGAAAAGGAGTGCTTAGCGTCGATACTGGCAATAAAAAAGTTCCAACCCTATATAGAATGGATGCCTATCACCTGCATCACGGACCACGCCAGCTTAAAATGGCTGATGTCTATGAAGGACCTAGGCGGGAGACTAGCACGTTGGTCATTGTAGCTGCAAGGCTACGACTTTACCATCGAGCACCGTAAAGGCAGTGAGAACGTATTAGCCGACACCTTATCGCGCAGTATTCAAGCCGTAGGAAAGGTTACGGAAAAACTTCTCGAATTTGAGACCACCGAGGTTGACTTGAAAGGAGGTAGTGACCGAGCGACCATTCCAAAAACTATATATTGACTTTCTGGGAAAGTACCCACGTTCGAAGCAAGGGCACGCGTGGATCTTCAGAGTAGTCGACCACATATAAAAATGTACTTTCTTGAAAGCGATGCGGGAGTTTTAACGTGGTGGAGTTTTTGGTCAGGGAAGTTTTTTATAAGTTTGGTGTACCCGAGGTCATCCACTCTGATAACGGACGACAGTTCATATCATAGTACGTTCCTAACATGATCTCAGCTTTCAACATCTCGCACATACGCACCGCAAGACTGCGGTAGACACGCACCACAGAGCAATGCGAGTGATCGAGTTGATCGTACCGTGTTGTCGGCCATCCGGGCGTATCAAGAGCAAGATCACCGCGAGAGGGAACTTCCGGAAAAAGAGGTGTCCATACGAAATGCCATGCATACCGTGACAGGGGTAACCCCCTTCTTTGCTGTTTTCGGACATCACATGTTCCTTAACGGGGCATGCTACAGATTGGCTTGTAGGTTGGCGTCTCTTAGTGATCATGAGATCTCCCATTTGCACCCAGCAGAAAAAATACACCTGATTAGAAAGCGAGTACAAGGCCAACTACATCAGGCTTACGAAAGAAGTCAGCGGCGGTACAATACTCGGGCCCGGGTGTTCTAGGCAGAAAGCTTTTAACGCCAAGTTTGCAAGAAAGTTCTTTAAGGCCAGAGTAGTGCGTCGAGTAGGCAACAACTCGTACCTGCTGAAAGATTTGATAGGGAAGCCCTTAGGAGTGTTCCATGCGAAGGACATACGGGTGTAGATCAGGGTCGTGGGTGATGGGCGTTCTATTTGGCCGGCTGGGCATACCAGATGGGAAATGCGCACGCAGATTTATCGTATAGGTCGCATGCCTTTGAATATGCCCTTGGCCGTCATTCGAGCGTTGACCCAAAAAAAAAAAAGAATTAGAAAAAAAAGGCAGATGGGCGGCAACGGTAATAATATTTAGATGTATGCGTGTGCCGAATTTCGGCACCTTGGATGTTGCTGCCCAATGTACAGCAAGGAGAGTTCGAATTGGTCGGTGGTCCACAGCGGACGTGCCGGCTGGAAGTTACAATTTTTAAGCATGTGCTTGCCAAAAAAAAAATCAAAGTGCATATATTCGTTCACGACGGGTTTTCTTTATTAATAAATTGCCAAGATAATTCATTGTGTGCACACATATTGCAAAACGAAATAGTACAAAAGAACGATAATACACACAACACGTTAAAGACGACGATAAAAGCGATACTCTACTAGAGGATACTCTACGGAGGACGCTGGCCAGATCAAGTCAAATATTCACGGGCCGGATTTCCAAAACACCGATACTCGACCGTGTAATCCACACGACGGCGAGACGAGCTAACACGGACGGGACTCCCCCTACGAAGAGGCGGTCACTGGCGAGACCACGCCCATATCATCCGAGTGAGTCTGTTCCATTTCGTGCCTCCTCCTGAGTAAACGGCATAGTCATTGTGCTCCCTGAAAGAGAAAGGGTTTTTTTTTTTAAATCTGTAACTCTAGTTGTTTTGTTTTTTTATCAAATACATAAAAATACTCACGACTAGTCTAAATTAAATAAATTTCCGAAAGTGCGGACAGGGAAGCAAAGTGCCCAAAGATTATTGTGTCTGCCGAGTAAAGAAAGAAATTAAAAGTTAAGATTTTTCCTTACTTATGCACGAGTGATACCCATTTATACATATATATATATATATTGGGAACATGGGAAATTATCAGCAAAATGCTAACCCAACCACCATTTCAAGTGGTTATTCCAACACGAATCAGAGTTATCACGCACAAAATAAACAGCACAATAAGTCCGAAGACAATCAGAAAGCTCACCACGAGTTCCAACAGAAATTAAGTCAAGGTAGATACCAAAATCCCTTAAACTACCAAAATCAGTCCCATTCACGCTTGAATGCACCAAACCCTCCGACTAAACGTCAAAGAGATAGTAACAGTGGGCAGATGAAAATGGATACATCCGAAAATTTTCATCAGCAAGCCTCGGAACAAACAGAAGAAATCCATTCATAAAATTGATTATGAATGACGAAGTTCTAAAATGTATCATCGACACAGGTTCAACCATAAATCTAATGAAAACTAACCGCTTAAATTTTCCAGTTTACAACGAAACATTAAAGGTTCACACCATAAACGGTGTTATTGAATTAAAACAAAGTATACGATTAGGAGCAAGCAAAATTTGTCCGAGCAAACAAAAATTCTATATTCACGACTTCTCAGAGCATTATGATGTTCTGATTGGGAGAGAATACCTTGAGGCATGTCAAGCTAAAATAGACTATGCACAAGGATCCGTAACCTTAGGAGAATTTAACTTTTGTTTTAGATATAACGACGAAGTGGTCGAAGAGGACATGACCGCACAAGAGTGCCTTGATCCACCCTCAACAGAGGACAGACCATTTAACTTCGCTATTAATAATGAATTAATAGAAAACAATGAGTTTAGGCTAGAGCACCTAAACTCAGAAGAAAAAGAAAAAATAAAAAAAGTTTTACATGAATTTCGTGATATCCAGTACCATGAAGGTGACAATTTGACTTTCACTAGTACAATTAAACACAAAATTCTAACAAAACATGAGGACCCAATTTACAAGCGTCCATACAAATATCCTCAAATATACGATGAGGAAGTAAATAAACAAATAAGCGATATGATAAAACAAAATATCATACGTAAATCCAAATCCTCTTACTGCTCACCAGTAATAATCGTTCCAAAGAAAAACGATGCATCTGGAAAGCAAAAGTTCCGGTTAGTCATAGATTACCGCAATCTCAATGAACTAACTATTAATGATAAATACCCTATCCCGATCATGGATAAAATATTAGACAAACTTGGAAAATGTCAATATTTCACAACCATTGATCTAGCCAAAGGCTTCCACCAAATCCAAATGGATCCTGGTTCAATACCCAAGACCGCATTTTCGACTAAACATGGCCATTACGAGTACACTCGACTGCCATTTGGTCTTAAGAATGCACCTGCAACGTTCCAACGTTGTATGAACAATCTCTTAGAAGATTTAATTCTTAAGGATTGTCTGGTCTACTTAGACGACATTATTATTTTTTCCACTTCATTGGAGGAACACATTTTGTCGCTACAAAAGGTATTTAAGAAGCTTAGAGAAGCTAACTTAAAACTACAGTTGGATAAATGCGAGTTTATGAGAAAAGAAACTGAATTTCTCGGTCACATCATCACAACTGAGGGTATAAAACCAAATCCCAACAAGATACAATCAATTGTCAAATTCCCAATTCCAAAAACCCCAAAAGAAATTAAATCATTTCTAGGATTATGTGGTTTCTATAGGAAATTTATACCAAATTTCGCTAATATAGTAAAACCATTAACACTTAAATTAAAAAAGGGAGCAAAAATCAATATAAAAGACAGAGACTACGAACTAGCGTTTGAAAAGCTAAAAGTACTCATAACATCCGACCCAATTTTAATATACCCTAACTTCGAAAAACCATTCTCATTAACTACAGACGCGAGTAATATGGCAATAGGGGCCGTCCTTTCGCAAGAGCATAAGCCTATATGCTATGCAAGTAGAACTCTCAACGAGCATGAGTTAAATTATTCAACGATTGAAAAAGAATTATTAGCAATCGTTTGGGCCACTAAATACTTTAGGTCCTATCTCTTTGGTCGACAATTTCAAATCCTTAGTGATCACAGACCACTCGTCTGGTTAAATAATATGAAAGAACCTAACATGAAATTACAAAGGTGGAAGATCAAGCTAAATGAGTTTGATTTCCAAATTAAATATGTCCCAGGAAAAGAAAATTATGTGGCAGATGCTCTGTCCAGAATTCAATTAAACGAAAACTTCTTAGGCGAAGATACAATTAGCACAAGAGCAACAATACATAGTGCTCAAGAAGACAACAGTAACCATTTACAAATCACAGAAAGACCACTTAATTATTATAATCGACAAATAGAATTTGAAAAAGGAACCGAGAACGAAACAAAAGTTACGAATTACTTTCACAAAACCAACATAAAAACTACGTACAAAGACATGACTAACACGCATGCCAAAGAATTAATAAAAGAATACTTATGCACAAAGAAAAGTGTGCTATATTTCCACAACGAAGCAGATTTTCCAATTTTTCAAGAAGCCTACTTAGAAATAATAAGTCCGAATAATTCAACAAAGGCAATGAAAACTAGTACAAAATTAATAGACCTTCAAACATACGCAGAATTCAAAGAATTAATATTAAAAAAGCACAAAGAATTATTACATCCAGGAATTGAAAAAACTATCAATTGGTTCAAAGAAACCCACTATTTCCCAGATTATCAAAATTTAATTCAAAATCTAATAAATGAATGTGAGATTTGCAACATCGCAAAAACAGAACACAGGGATACAAAATTAACTTTCGAAATAACTCCGGAAATCGCTAATATCCGAGAAAAATATGTAATGGATTTTTACATAGTAGGAGATAAACAATTTTTATCTTGCATTGATATTTATTCAAAATTTGCATCATTAATAGAAATAAAAAGTAGAGACTGGCTAGAAACCAAACGAGCTATATTACAAGTGTTCAACCAAATGGGTAAACCCATCGAAATAAAAGCAGAGAAAGACTCAGCTTTTATGTGTACAGCTTTACAATTATGGCTAAAATCAGAAGCAGTAAATATTAATATAACCACTAGTAAAAATGGTATATCCGACGTAGAACGATTTCATAAGACAGTTAACGAAAAACTAAGAATCATTAACAGCGACTCAGACGTCGAAAATAAACTTACAAATTTTGAAACTATACTCTACACGTACAATCATAAAACAAAGCACAAAACGACTAACAGAACACCAGCAGACATATTCATATATGCAGGTACACCAGAGTATGACACTCAAGCTAATAAAGAAAAACTAATAAATAACATCAACAAAAAACGAACAAATTATGAAATTGACACTAGATACAAACACTCACCATTAGTTAAAACAAAGACGACAACCCCGTTCAAGAAAACAGGAGAACTAAGACAAATCGACGACAAACATTTTGAGGAAACTAACAGAGGCAGGAAAATAACACATTACAAAACCAAATTCAAAAAGAAAAAGAAGACTAATCAAAGCAAATATAACAATTACAGGTCAACAACAGACAGCGATCAAAACATACAAGCACCAGCTTAAACTAATTATTATAATATTACTATCAATAACTGTAAACCATATAAATGCACAGAGTATTGAAATTAATCCTATCAAAGCCCATAACGGATATCTCATATTTAAAACAGGAACCATAGACATTCCGACACATTACGAATTCCACTTTTTAACGGTTAATATAACAAAAACCGAAGAAACTTTTAACAATTTAATTGAACAAAGTAAAGAATTCAATAACCTTATACAAATCGAATACCTAGTAGAAAAATTAAACAGAGAAATAAACGGCTTAAAAATAGCCAAACGCAGCAAAAGAGGTTTAGTTAACATAGTAGGAACAGCATATAAATACTGATAATATCCCATATTCCTCGAGAAATAATAAAAGGCCTGGTATTCGAAATAATTCCATACCCGGATGAAAATAATAATATTTTGACATAAATAGCTCATGAAAAATATTTTACCCAAGATAAAAAAGTTTATAGCAAAGAAACAAAAAAATTAATTAATAATGAATGTTTAACAGGAATTTTAAACCAAATAACATCAGAATGTAGTTATACTAAAATTTTGCAAAATTTTCAAATCAACTACATAGAACCAAATATAATTTTAACTTGGAATTTACCAAAAACTATATTAAATCATAATTGTATAAATAAAGAAATAACAATAGAAGGAAACAATATAATAAAAATCTTTAATTGTTCACTGCAAATTAATGAAATTTCAATCTCAAACAATATGTTAGATTATACTCAAAGCATTTACGTAAGCAATGATGTTATAAAATTAGAACCACTTTCGTTTGTACAAACGAAACAAATTATAAATGAACATACAAAATTTAACAATGTATTCCAGATAATTTCAATAACCATATTTGTAATCATATTAATAAGTTTAACACTGTATTTGACATATAAGTTCAAAAGCATACCTAAGAAATTAATTATAAAATATAAAAAACCCAAAGTAGAAGAAACACCTACAATAATAGGAGATATACCAATTGTAAAAGAAGAAAATGTTACACTTTATCCAAACTTAAACACCTGAGGACAGGCACTTTTCTAATGGTTGGGGGAGTGACATATCCATAGTCGCACCCACCCTTTAACATAACTTAGCACATAAGCATAAGCACAATTATAAACATTTCTAATATTGTAAACAAAGAGCCTGGTGATAACATCGACATTGGTCAAGATCAAACTGTCCCCCTTTGGTAGACATAAACAATTCACCCTAAATATCACGCCACTGTCAATGTTCCCATCAGAGTACTATCCCACGCATAATTGCTGACGCAACTCAAACTTCACTTAATTTTGACTCAAACTCTCTCAAAGCGAAGTTTGCTAAGCGACCGCAACAGTTAGATAAATCAGTTCATATTCGGGAAGCAAATCTGAATGTACTCAACAAAAGTAGCCGTTAAGTGAAAATAATAAATTGAAATATATTTTTTTATAGTAACCTAACGTGTAAAACTTAATTATATATATATGTTAGGCACCTCAGGTGCAGAATACCTCTTATGATCGCCCTTACCGCTTTTTAGGCAGGCAAGGTAATATAAGCGCTTTTGACAAACATTACGCCTTCAGTTGGAAACACATATGTATATACGCATATATTTTAGCGGGTACTCGCCATTGGAGCAATAATTACCTGTGTGTATATCTCTCTTCTTGTTTTCCTTTCTTTTGTTGACTGGCAATAACTCCTGGTCGTGCTTTCGTCTCCTGTTCCGTATTAGTGTTGCCAACAAACAATATTCTGTACAACAAAATTCGAATTTAAAATTAATATTCATTGTTCTAAATATAAGAAAATACCAATTTATCGTATGCACCTGTTTAAAAATTCCCAAAATGTTCACGAGTGCAAATTTATTAATAGCAACTTGGAGATATCCTGCAAGGGAATAAGAGATAAGCTTAAATGTTCATAGTGATAAGGAATGCAACCAATTATACAGTACGTGAGGAGAGCAATGACGGGGAGAGTAGTAGACACGAGTAGTTGTTCGTCTCATGGTAGGGTGGGTACGCTGGGTCCGGAACCGGGGCACGAGCTGGAAGAGTAAAGTGGATTAATGGCGTTTTTGTTATTTTATATCAATATCTCATCTTTGTTGTTTACATTTACTTATCGCCACAGCTGTTTATGTTGTTCATGTGTTAGAAGTTCCGATAATTTGATGTTATCGACTTGTGGTTCGTTTTGCATAGTGTTGTGTAATAGCCTATGTCTACTGGTTTAAGAAATGACACATTTTCCAATATCACATATTGGTGTTCCACCGGTTGAAGGTAACATGTGAGTGACTAAAGCACCGCTTTTTAAAATAAATAGCTGATCTAGTTTCTTTATTTTACATAAGCCCCGTAAAGTTCTTCTCCCAAATCTCAAAACTGGTGCTCTCGAAGTAAGGGCTCCATTTTAGGCACTCTTTTCGAGATTTCGCCATGTTTAAATTCTAAAATCTGTGGGATTAGTTTAATTCTCAATTTCTTTTTTAATGTTGCCGCTTGCCTTCGTTGATATATCAGCTGTTTATGTTAACCATTTTTCACAACATCGATCGAAATCTCGATTAATTATCGCAAAAAACACGAAATATTCGGGGCGAATTTACACATATCTGGAAAATGTGCCTTTTTTGAAAGATGTGTGATATGAGATTTCTTATGGGGAAACGCACAGGGCGCATATTACACATTTGTCAAAAATGTGGAATTTTCTGAAATGTGTCAGAAATGTGATCAGTGGACAGAGGCTATTAGTCTGTTTTGCTACAGACGTGTAGCTTCGATGTTATAGATTGTGCGGACTGCGGGGGAGGGATGGGACTGCACCCAGAGAAACCGATGAGCCAGCCGGCGCGGCCCACCTAGAAACAAGCAGTTCGTTAATAATATATATATATTTGATATTTGTTCTTTAAAAAATAGTTATTGTATTCTTATACCCTGAACCCATTAAAAATGGGTATAAGGGTATATTGTATTTGTGCAAAATCCAAATGTATGTAACAGGCAGAAGGAAGCATCTCCGACCCCATAAAGTATATATATTCTTGATCAGCGCCAATAGCCGAATCGATCTAGCCATGTCCGTCTGTCTGTCTGCCCGTCTGTCCGTCCGTATGTATGAACACAATGATCTCAGAACTTATACGAGCTAGAGATTTGAAATTTGTTTCCGATAGTCGATAACTTATTCCGCCTCCACGCAATCGATAAAAATCGTTATCGATATCCTGTTTTTTGGGCAATTTTGGTAAATTATAAGAGCTAGAAGAAGAGGGCTCAGGGAGCTCCCGACTAGAACCTCTTACTTTTTAATAATGTTTTAATTAGATTTTTTGGGCAGTCATTTTCATTAAGAGTTTTTTAATTTCATGTATAGTTGCTTGGTGGTAAATTGTGTCTGATATGTTAAGCATTCGTTAAAGCTTACTGCTGTATTGATTATCATACTCTTTGGGTGCCTTGAATTGGGGTTGAGTATACGTCCGGAGGCTATGGGTTTCTTATAACACTTAATTTTAAGTGTGTCGTCCAATCTAATTACAAAAGAGTCAAAAAATGGTAGTTTGCCGTCTTTGTATACCCTTGCGGAGGGTATTATATTTTTGTAGTGATATGTGTAACGCATAGAAGGAGACATCTCCGACCCCATAAAGTATATATATTCTTTATCAGCATCAACAGCAGAATCGATATAGCCATGTCCGTCTGTCTTTGCAGAAGTTCCTCTCTCTATTGCACGCAACACATATGTTAAAACCAGTTGGATTGGACCACTATATCATATAGCTGCCATAGGAACGATCGGTCGAAAATTAAGTTATTGCATGAAAAATATTTTGTTTTGCCAGATATCTTGACAAAACTCGGCCTTTTTTAATTTAACTATGCTCCTCATATATATGTAAAATCCTATTAAGATCGGACCACTATATCATATAGCTGCCATTGGAACGTAGCTCGGCATTTATTAGCTTTACTTAGCTGCTCATATAAATGCAAAATTCTATTAAGATCGGAACACTATATCATATTGCTGCCATAGGAACGATCGTTCGAAAATTAAGGTTTGGTATGAAAAACATTTTGTTTATCAAGATATCTTGACCAACCTCGGCATTTATTAGTTTTACTATGCTCCTCATATATATACAAAATCCTATTAAGATCGAACCACTATATCATATAGCTGCCATATGAGCGATCGGTCGAAAATTTGGTTGTATGAATAAACATTTTGTGAAAATATCTTGACCAAACTCGGCATTTATTAGTTTTACTAAGCTCCTCATATATATGTAAAATCCTATTAAGATCGGTCCACTATATCATATAGCTGCCATTGGAACGTAGCTCGGCATTTATTAGCTTTACTAAGCTGCTCATATAAATGCAAAATTCTATTAAGATCGGAACACTATATCATATTGCTGCCATAGGAACGATCGTTCGAAAATTAAGGTTTGGTATAAAAAAAATATTTTGTTTATCAAGATATCTTGACCAAACTCGACGTTTATTAGTTTTACTAAGCTCCTCATATAAATGCCAAATCCTATTAAGATCGGACCACTACATCATATAGCTGTCATAGGAACGATCGTTCGAAAATTAAGTTCTCCTGTTTCATGTCCATAAATAGTTGTTTAGGTATACTTGTGTGTTCTTCTAAATTTGTCCATTTTCGTCTTAGTGTATACCGCCCTCCCTCCCTGATCAGGGATATAGTAATGGAGGAACTATTAAAGAAAGTAATGAAAAAATTGACAATAAATCCAAGACTCTTGACCAAATATGTAGATGACCTGTTTGCCATAACAGTCAAAATAGAAGCACAGAAGCTTCTGAAAGAATTGAACTCTTTCCATAGAAACATTTAATTCACAATTGAATAAGAAAAAGACGGGGAACTACCATTTTTAGATGCTTTCATAATTTGACAACTCACTTAAAATTAAGTGGTATAAGAAATAGGTAGCCTCCGGAAGAATACTCAACATCAATTTAAGCCACCCCTAGAGTATCATAATCAATACAGCAATAAGCTGTATGAAAAGAATGCTTAACATAGCGGATACAATATACCACGAAGCAACTATACATGAATATACATTAAAAAACTCTTAATAAAAAATGACTTCTCACAAAATGTAATCAAAACATTAGTAACGAGAAAGAAAGGCTATCTTCGTCACGCCGAAGATCAAATGCCATTGCAGACCAAACCTTTTCATAATGCTTATAATGCTTTGCCCGTATCAAAGAAGCGCAATGAAAATAGTTAATGTCAAGTTTAGTCAAGATATCTTGATAAACAACAAAGGTTTTTAATCAAGAACCTAGTTTTCGATGCAGATGTATAATATAGTAGTCCGAGAAAAATAAGGTTTTACAAAAATAAAGCGAGCATAGTGAAATCTTAAACTGCCATGTTAAATAAAAATATCTTGCAATATAGAAAAATTTTCCATACAACAACTTAATTTTCGATCGATCGTTCCTACGTCAGCTATATGATATAGTGGTCCGATCTTAATATGATTTTGCCTGTATATGAGGAGTATAGTAATACTAATAAATGCCGAGTTTGGTCAAGATATATTGATAAACAAAATGTTTTTTTATACAACTTAATTTTCGATCGATCGTTCCTTTGTCAACTATATGATAGAGTGGTCTGGTCTTAATAAGATTTTGCATATATATGAGAAGCATAGGTAAACCAATAAATGCCAAGTTTGGTCAAGGTATCTTGATAAACAAAAAGTTTTTTTCATTCAAAAACTTAATTTTCGAAAGATCGTTCCTATGGCAGCTATATGATATTGTGCTCCGATCTTAGTAGGATTTTGCATATATATGAGGAGCATAGTAAAACTAATAAATGCCGAGTTTGGTCAAGATATCTTGTTACACAAAATGTTTTTTCATTCAAAAAATTAATTTTCATACAACAACTTAATTTTCAACCGATCGTACACATGGCAGCTATATGATATAGTGGTCCGATCTTAATAGTATTTTGCATATATATAAGGAGCATAGTAAAACTAATAAATGCCGAGTTTGGTCAAGATATCTTGAAAAACAATATGTTTTTTCATACAAAAACTGAATTTTCGACCGATCGTTTCTATGGCAGCTATATGATATAGTGGTCCGATCTTAATAGTATTTTGCATATATATGAGGAGTAAAGTAAAACTAATAAATGCCGAGTTTGGTCAAGATATCTTGTTACACAAAATGTTTTTTCATTCAAAAAATTAATTTTCATACAACAACTTAATTTTCAACCGATCGTACACATGGCATCTATATGATATGGTGGTCCGATCTTATTAGGATTTTGCATATATATGAGGAGTAAAGTAAAACTAATAAATGCCGAGTTTGGTCAACATATCTTGAAAAAACAATATGTTTTTTTCATACAAAAACCTAATTTTCGACCGATCGATCTTATGGCTGCTATATGATATAGTGGTCCGATCTTAATAGTATTTTGCATATATATGAAGAGTAAAGTAAAACTAATAAAAGATGAGTTTGGTCAAGATATATTGAAAAACAAAATGTTTTTTCCATACAAAAACTTAATTTTCGACCGATCGTTCCTATGGCAGCTATATGATATAGTGGTCCGATCTTAATAGTATTTTGCATATGTATGAGGAGTAAAGTAAAACTAATAAATGCCCAGTTTGGTCAAGATATCTTGAAAAACAAAATGTTTTTTCATACAAAAACTTAATTTTCGACCGATCGTTTCTATGGCAGCTTTATTATATAGTAGTCCGATCCAGCTGGTTTTCATATATGTGCTGCGTGCAACAGAAAGAGGGACTTCTGCTAAATTTTATTAAGATAGCTTTAAAACTGAGAGACTAGTTCGCTTAGAAACAGACAGACGGACAGACGGACATGGCTCTATCGACTCGGCTGTTTATGCTGATCAAGAATATATATACTTTATGGGGTCGGAGATGTCTCCTTCTATGCGCTAATCATTTCACTCAAAATTATAATACCCTCTGCAAGGGTATAAAAAAACGAGAAAGAAAGGCAATCTTCGGCACGCCGAAGATCTAATCCCTTGCTGACCCAACCTTTTCGTAATGCTTATAGTGCCTTGCCCGTATCTAAAAAGCACAGGTAAAATAGTTAATGCCGAGTTTGGTCAAGATATCTTGATGAACAAAATAGGTTTTTAATCAAAAACCTAGTTTTCGACAGATCGTTCCAATGGCAGCTATATGATATAGTGTACCGATCTTAAAAGGATTTTGCATTTATATGAAGAGCATAGTAAAACTAAAAAATGACAAGTTTGGTCAATATATCTTGGAAAACAAAATGTTTTATCATACAACAACTTAATTTTCGACCGATCGTTCCTATGGCAGCTATAAGAGATAGTGGTCCGATCAATTGTCAAATTCCCAATTCCAAAAACCCCAAAAGAAATTAAATCATTTCTAGGATTATGTGGTTTCTATAGGAAATTTATACCAAATTTCGCTAATATAGTAAAACCATTAACACTTAAATTAAAAAAGGGAGCAAAAATCAATATAAAAGACAGAGACTACGAACTAGCGTTTGAAAAGCTAAAAGTACTCATAACATCCGACCCAATTTTAATATACCCTAACTTCGAAAAACCATTCTCATTAACTACAGACGCGAGTAATATGGCAATAGGGGCCGTCCTTTCGCAAGAGCATAAGCCTATATGCTATGCAAGTAGAACTCTCAACGAGCATGAGTTAAATTATTCAACGATTGAAAAAGAATTATTAGCAATCGTTTGGGCCACTAAATACTTTAGGTCCTATCTCTTTGGTCGACAATTTCAAATCCTTAGTGATCACAGACCACTCGTCTGGTTAAATAATATGAAAGAACCTAACATGAAATTACAAAGGTGGAAGATCAAGCTAAATGAGTTTGATTTCCAAATTAAATATGTCCCAGGAAAAGAAAATTATGTGGCAGATGCTCTGTCCAGAATTCAATTAAACGAAAACTTCTTAGGCGAAGATACAATTAGCACAAGAGCAACAATACATAGTGCTCAAGAAGACAACAGTAACCATTTACAAATCACAGAAAGACCACTTAATTATTATAATCGACAAATAGAATTTGAAAAAGGAACCGAGAACGAAACAAAAGTTACGAATTACTTTCACAAAACCAACCTTACATCCAGGAATTGAAAAAACTATCAATTGGTTCAAAGAAACCCACTATTTCCCAGATTATCAAAATTTAATTCAAAATCTAATAAATGAATGTGAGATTTGCAACATCGCAAAAACAGAACACAGGGATACAAAATTAACTTTCGAAATAACTCCGGAAATCGCTAATATCCGAGAAAAATATGTAATGGATTTTTACATAGTAGGAGATAAACAATTTTTATCTTGCATTGATATTTATTCAAAATTTGCATCATTAATAGAAATAAAAAGTAGAGACTGGCTAGAAACCAAACGAGCTATATTACAAGTGTTCAACCAAATGGGTAAACCCATCGAAATAAAAGCAGAGAAAGACTCAGCTTTTATGTGTACAGCTTTACAATTATGGCTAAAATCAGAAGCAGTAAATATTAATATAACCACTAGTAAAAATGGTATATCCGACGTAGAACGATTTCATAAGACAGTTAACGAAAAACTAAGAATCATTAACAGCGACTCAGACGTCGAAAATAAACTTACAAGATTTGAAATTATACTCTACACGTACAATCATAAAACAAAGCACAAAACGACTAACAGAACACCAGCAGACATATTCATATATGCAGGTACACCAGAGTATGACACTCAAGCTAATAAAGAAAAACTAATAAATAACATCAACAAAAAACGAACAAATTATGAAATTGACACTAGATACAAACACTCACCATTAGTTAAAACAAAGACGACAACCCCGTTCAAGAAAACAGGAGAACTAAGACAAATCGACGACAAACATTTTGAGGAAACTAACAGAGGCAGGAAAATAACACATTACAAAACCAAATTCAAAAAGAAAAAGAAAAAGAAGACTAATCAAAGCAAATATAACAATTACAGGTCAACAACAGACAGCGATCAAAACATACAAGCACCAGCTTAAACTAATTATTATAATATTACTATCAATAACTGTAAACCATATAAATGCACAGAGTATTGAAATTAATCCTATCAAAGCCCATAACGGATATCTCATATTTAAAACAGGAACCATAGACATTCCGACACATTACGAATTCCACTTTTTAACGGTTAATATAACAAAAACCGAAGAAACTTTTAACAATTTAATTGAACAAAGTAAAGAATTCAATAACCTTATACAAATCGAATACCTAGTAGAAAAATTAAACAGAGAAATAAACGGCTTAAAAATAGCCAAACGCAGCAAAAGAGGTTTAGTTAACATAGTAGGAACAGCATATAAATACTGATAATATCCCATATTCCTCGAGAAATAATAAAAAGCCCGGTATTCGAAATAATTCCATACCCGGATGAAAATAATAATATTTTGACAGAAATAGCTCATGAAAAATATTTTACCCAAGATAAAAAAGTTTATAGCAAAGAAACAAAAAAATTAATTAATAATGAATGTTTAACAGGAATTTTAAACCAAATAACATCAGAATGTAGTTATACTAAAATTTTGCAAAATTTTCAAATCAACTACATAGAACCAAATATAATTTAAACTTGGAATTTACCAAAAACTATATTAAATCATAATTGTATAAATAACGAAATAACAATAGAAGGAAACAATATAATAAAAATCTTTAATTGTTCACTACAAATTAATGAAATTTCAATCTCAAACAATATGTTAGATTATACTCAAAGCATTTACGTAAGCAATGATGTTATAAAATTAGAATCACTTTCGTTTGTACAAACGAAACAAATTATAAATGAACATACAAAATTTAACAATGTATTCCAGATAATTACAATAACCATATTTGTAATCATATTAATAAGTTTAACACTGTATTTGACATATAAGTTCAAAAGCATACCTAAGAAATTAATTATAAAATATAAAAAACCCAAAGTAGAAGAAACACCTACAATAATAGGAGATATACCAATTGTAAAAGAAGAAAATGTTACACTTTATCCAAACTTAAACACCTGAGGACAGGCACTTTTCTAATGGTTGGGGGAGTGACATATCCATAGTCGCACCCACCCTTTAACATAACTTAGCACATAAGCATAAGCACAATTATAAACATTTCTAATATTGTAAACAAAGAGCCTGGTGATAACATCGACATTGGTCAAGATCAAACTGTCCCCCTTTGGTAGACATAAACAATTCACCCTAAATATCACGCCACTGTCAATGTTCCCATCAGAGTACTATCCCACGCATAATTGCTGACGCAGCTCAAACTTCACTCAATTTTGACTCAAACTCTCTCAAAGCGAAGTTTGCTAAGCGACCGCAACAGTTAGATAAATCAGTTCATATTCGGGAAGCAAATCTGAATGTACTCAACAAAAGTAGCCGTTAAGTGAAAATAATAAATTGAAATATATTTTTTTATAGTAACCTAACGTGTAAAACTTAATTATATTTATATATATGTTAGGCACCTCAGGTGCAGAATACCTCTTATGATCGCCCTTACCGCTTTTTAGGCATGCAAGGTAATATAAGCGCTTTTGACAAACATTACGCCTTCAGTTGGAAACACATATGTATATACGCATTTATTTTAGCGGGTACTCGCCATTGGAGCAATAATTACCTGTGTGTATATCTCTCTTCTTGTTTTCCTTTCTTTTGTTGACTGGCAATAACTCCTGGTCGTGCTTTCGTCTCCTGTTCCGTATTAGTGTTGCCAACAAACAATATTCTGTACAACAAAATTCGAATTTAAAATTAATATTCATTGTTCTAAATATAAGAAAATACCAATTTATCGTATGCACCTGTTTAAAAATTCCCAAAATGTTCACGAGTGCAAATTTATTAATAGCAACTTGGAGATATCCTGCAAGGGAATAAGAGATAAGCTTAAATGTTCATAGTGATAAGGAATGCAACCAATTATACAGTACGTGAGGAGAGCAATGACGGGGAGAGTAGTAGACACGAGTAGTTGTTCGTCTCATGGTAGGGTGGGTACGCTTGGTCCGGAACCGGGGCACGAGCTGGAAGAGTAAAGTGGATTAATGGCGTTTTTGTTATTTTATATCAATATCTCATCTTTGTTGTTTACATTTACTTATCGCCACAGCTGTTTATGTTGTTCATGTGTTAGAAGTTCCGATAATTTGATGTTATCGACTTGTGGTTCGTTTTGCATAGTGTTGTGTAATAGCCTATGTCTACTGGTTTAAGAAATGACACATTTTCCAATATCACATATTGGTGTTCCACCGGTTGAAGGTAACATGTGAGTGACTAAAGCACCGCTTTTTAAAATAAATAGCTGATCTAGTTTCTTTATTTTACATAAGCCCCGTAAAGTTCTTCTCCCAAATCTCAAAACAGGTGCTCTCGAAGTAAGGGCTCCATTTTAGGCACTCTTTTCGAGATTTCGCCATGTTTAAATTCTAAAATCTGTGGGATTAGTTTAATTCTTAATTTCTTTTTTAATGTTGCCGCTTGCCTTCGTTGATATATCAGCTGTTTATGTTAACCATTTTTCACAACATCGATCGAAATCTCGATTAATTATCGCAAAAAACACGAAATTTTCGGGGCGAATTTACACATATCTGGAAAATGTGCCTTTTTTGAAAGATGTGTGATATGAGATTTCTTATGGGGAAACGCACAGGGCGCATATTACACATTTGTCAAAAATGTGGAATTTTCTGAAATGTGTCAGAAATGTGATCAGTGGACAGAGGCTATTAGTTTGTTTTGCTACAGACGTGTAGCTTCGATGTTATAGATTGTGTGGACTGCGGGGGAGGGATGGGACTGCACCCAGAGAAACCGATGAGCCAGCCGGCGCGGCCCACCTAGAAACAAGCAGTTCGTTAATAATATATATATATTTGATATTTGTTCTGTAAAAAATAGTTATTGTATTCTTATACCCTGAACCCATTAAAAATGGGTATAAGGGTATATTGTATTTGTGCAAAATCCAAATGTATGTAACAGGCAGAAGGAAGCATCTCCGACCCCATAAAGTATATATATTCTTGATCAGCGCCAATAGCCGAATCGATCTAGCCATGTCCGTCTGTCTGTCTGCCCGTCTGTCCGTCCGTATGTATGAACACAAGGATCTCAGAACTTATACGAGCTAGAGATTTGAAATTTGTTTCCGATAGTCGATAACTTATTCCGCCTCCACGCAATCGATAAAAATCGTTATCGATATCCTGTTTTTTGGGCAATTTTGGTAAATTATAAGAGCTAGAAGAAGAGGGCTCAGGGAGCTCCCGACTAGAACCTCTTACTTTTTAATAATGTTTTAATTAGATTTTTTGGGCAGTCATTTTCATTAAGAGTCATTTCAGCATTCGTTAAAGCTTACTGCTGTATTGATTATCATACTCTTTGGGTGCCTTGAATTGGGGTTGAGTATACGTCCGGAGGCTATGGGTTTCTTATAACACTTAATTTTAAGTGTGTCGTCCAATCTAATTACAAAAGAGTCAAAAAATGGTAGTTTGCCGTCTTTGTATACCCTTGCGGAGGGTATTATAATTTTGTAGTGATATGTGTAACGCATAGAAGGAGACATCTCCGACCCCATAAAGTATATATATTCTTTATCAGCATCAACAGCAGAATCGATATAGCCATGTCCGTCTGTCTTTGCAGAAGTTCCTCTCTCTATTGCACGCAACACATATGTTAAAACCAGTTGGATTGGACCACTATATCATATAGCTGCCATAGGAACGATCGGTCGAAAATTAAATTTTTGTATGAACAAATATTTTGTTTTTCCAGATATCTTGACCAAACTCAGCATTTATTAGTTTTACTTTACGCCTCATATATATGCAAAATCTTATCAAGATCTGACCACTATATCATGTAGCTGACATAGGAACGATCGATCGAAAATTAAGTTATTGCATGAAAAATATTTTGTTTTGCCAGATATCTTGACAAAACTCGGCCTTTTTTAATTTTACTATGCTCCTCATATATATGTAAAATCCTATTAAGATCGGACCACTATATCATATAGCTGCCATTGGAACGTAGCTCGGCATTTATTAGCTTTACTAAGCTGCTCATATAAATGCAAAATTCTATTAAGATCGGAACACTATATCATATTGCTGCCATAGGAACGATCGTTCGAAAATTAAGGTTTGGTATGAAAAACATTTTGTTTATCAAGATATCTTGACCAACCTCGGCATTTATTAGTTTTACTATGCTCCTCATATATATACAAAATCCTATTAAGATCGAACCACTATATCATATAGCTGCCATATGAGCGATCGGTCGAAAATTTGGTTGTATGAATAAACATTTTGTGAAAATATCTTGACCAAACTCGGCATTTATTAGTTTTACTAAGCTCCTCATATATATGTAAAATCCTATTAAGATCGGTCCACTATATCATATAGCTGCCATTGGAACGTAGCTCGGCATTTATTAGCTTTACTAAGCTGCTCATATAAATGCAAAATTCTATTAAGATCGGAACACTATATCATATTGCTGCCATAGGAACGATCGTTCGAAAATTAAGGTTTGGTATAAAAAAAATATTTTGTTTATCAAGATATCTTGACCAAACTCGACGTTTATTAGTTTTACTAAGCTCCTCATATAAATGCCAAATCCTATTAAGATCGGACCACTACATCATATAGCTGTCATAGGAACGATCGTTCGAAAATTAAGTTCTCCTGTTTCATGTCCATAACTAGTTGTTTAGGTATACTTGTGTGTTCTTCTAAATTTGTCCATTTTCGTCTTAGTGTATACCTCCCTCCCTCCCTGATCAGGGATATAGTAATGGAGGAACTATTAAAGAAAGTTATGAAAAAATTGACAATAAATCCAAGACTCTTGACCAAATATGTAGATGACCTGTTTGCCATAACAGTCAAAATAGAAGCACAGAAGCTTCTGAAAGAATTGAACTCTTTCCATAGAAACATTTAATTCACAATTGAATAAGAAAAAGACGGGGAACTACCATTTTTAGATTGTTTCATAATTTGACAACGCACTTAAAATTAAGTGGTATAAGAAATAGGTAGCCTCAGGAAGAATACTCGACATCAATTTAAGCCACCCCTAGAGTATCATAATCAATACAGCAATAAGCTGTATGAAAAGAATGCTTAACATAGCGGATACAATATACCACGAAGCAACTATACATGAATATACATTAAAAAACTCTTAATAAAAAATAACTTCTCACAAAATGTAATCAAAACATTAGTAACGAGACAGAAAGGCTATCTTCGTCACGCCGAAGATCAAATGCCCTTGCAGACCCAACCTTTTCATAATGCTTATAATGCTTTGCCCGTATCAAAGAAGCGCAATGAAAATAGTTAATGTCAAGTTTGGTCAAGATATCTTGATAAACAACAAAGGTTTTTAATCAAGAACCTAGTTTTCGATGCAGATGTATAATATAGTAGTCCGAGAAAAATAAGGTTTTACAAAAATAAAGCGAGCATAGTGAAATCTTAAACTGCCATGTTAAATAAAAATATCTTGCAATATAGAAAAGTTTTCCATACAACAACTTAATTTTCGATCGATCGTTCCTACGTCAGCTATATGATATAGTGGTCCGATCTTCATATGATTTTGCCTGTATATGAGGAGTATAGTAATACTAATAAATGCCGAGTTTGGTCAAGATATATTGATAAACAAAATGTTTTTTTATACAAATTAATTTTCGATCGATCGTTCCTTTGTCAACTATATGATAGAGTGGTCTGGTCTTAATAAGATTTTGCATATATATGAGAAGCATAGGTAAACCAATAAATGCCAAGTTTGGTCAAGGTATCTTGATAAACAAAATGTTTTTTTCATTCAAAAACTTAATTTTCGAAAGATCGTTCCTATGGCAGCTATATGATATTGTGCTCCGATCTTAGTAGGATTTTGCATATATATGAGGAGCATAGTAAAACTAATAAATGCCGAGTTTGGTCAAGATATCTTGTTACACAAAATGTTTTTTCATTCAAAAAATTAATTTTCATACAACAACTTAATTTTCAACCGATCGTACACATGGCAGCTATATGATATAGTGGTCCGATCTTAATAGTATTTTGCATATATATAAGGAGCATAGTAAAACTAATAAATGCCGAGTTTGGTCAAGATATCTTGAAAAACAATATGTTTTTTCATACAAAAACTGAATTTTCGACCGATCGTTTCTATGGCAGCTATATGATATAGTGGTCCGATCTTAATAGTATTTTGCATATATATGAGGAGTAAAGTAAAACTAATAAATGCCAAGTTTGGTCAAGATTGCTTGATAAACAAAATTTTTTTCATACAAAAACTTAGTATTCGACCGATCGTTCCTATGGCATCTATATGATATGATGGTCCGATCTTATTAGGATTTTGCATATATATGAGGAGTAAAGTAAAACTAATAAATGCCGAGTTTGGTCAAGATATCTTGAAAAACAAAATGTTTTTTTCATACAAAAACCTAATTTTCGACCGATCGATCTTATGGCTGCTATATGATATAGTGGTCCGATCTTAATAGTATTTTGCATATATATGAGGAGTAAAGTAAAACTAATAAAAGCCGAGTTTGGTCAAGATATATTGAAAAACAAAATGTTTTTTCCATACAAAAACTTAATTTTCGACCGATCGTTCCTGTGGCAGCTATATGATATAGTGGTCCGATCTTAATAGTATAATATAGATCAATCCTATGGCAGCTTTATGATATAGTAGTCCGATCCAGCTGGTTTTCATATATGTGCTGCGTGCAACAGAAAGAGGGACTTCTGCCAAATTTTATTAAGATAGCTTTAAAACTGAGAGACTAGTTCGCTTAGAAACAGACAGACGGACAGACGGACATGGCTCTATCGACTCGGCTGTTTATGCTGATCAAGAATATATATACTTTATGGGGTCGGAGATGTCTCCTTCTATGCGCTACTCATTTCACTCAAAATTATAATACCCTCTGCAAGGGGATAAAAAAACGAGAAAGAAAGGCAATCTTCGGCACGCCGAAGATCTAATCCCTTGCTGACCCAACCTTTTCGTAATGTTATAGTGCCTTGCCCGTATCTAAAAAGCACAGGTAAAATAGTTAATGCCGAGTTTGCTCAAGATATCTTGATGAACAAAATAGGTTTTTAATCAAAAACCTAGTTTTCGACAGATCGTTCCTACGGCAGCTATATGATATAGTGTACCGATCTTAAAAGGATTTTGCATTTATATGAAGAGCATAGTAAATATAAAAAATTGACAAGTTTGGTCAATATATCTTGAAAAACAAAATGTTTTATCATACAACAACTTAATTTTCGACCGATCGTTCCTA